GGCTCATCCTGTAATCCCATGCCTTTGGGAGGCTGAGGTGAATGGATTGCCTGACCCCGCAGGTTTGAGACCCGCCTGGGCAGCAAGACCTCATCTCTTCAATAAATCAAAAAATCAGCCGGGCATGGTAGCGCATGCCTGTAATTGCGGCTATTCTGAAGGCTGAGACGGAAGGATCGCCTGAGCCCAGCAGGTTGAGGCTGCGGTGGCCGGGAGCGACCACAGCACTCCAGTCTGGGCAACAGAGTGAGACTCCAACTCAAAAAAATAAATAAATAAAGTAATAGCCGGGCATGGTAGCACGCGCCTGTAATTCCTGCTACTTGGAAGGCCGAGGCGGAAGGATCGCCGGAGCCCAGCAGGTCGAGGTTGCGGTGGCCGGGAGCAGCCACTGCACTCCAGTCTGGGCGGCAGAGTGAGACTCCAACTCAAAAGTAAATAAATAAAGTAAGATCATTCCACATAAGATATACCCTCTTAAAAATTATTAAGTATAAGCCGGGCTCAGTGGCTCAGCCTGTAATCCCGCGCCTTTGGGAGGCTGAGGTGAGTGGATTGCCTGAGCCCGCGGGTTCGAGACCTGCCTGGGCAGCGAGACCTCATCTCTACAATAAATAAATTAAAAAAAATCAGCCAGGCGAGGTAGCGCATGCCTGTAATTCCGGATACTTGGAAGGCTGAGGCGGAAGGATCACTGGAGCCCAGCAGGTCGAGGCTGTGGTGGCCAGGAGCAGCCACTGCACTCCAGTCTAGGCAACAGAATGAGACTCCAACTCAAAAGAAAAAAAAAATTGTTAAGTATATAGTATAGTTCAGTCATACCTCAGAGAGAGTGTGAGTTTGGTCCCAGACCACTGCAATAAAGCATGTCACACAAATTTTTTGGTTTCCTAGTGCATCTAAAAGTATGTTTATACAATGCTGAGTCTATTAAGTGCACAAGAGCCTACATCTGCAAAAACTATGTATATACCTTAATTTAAAAGTACTTTATTGCTAATATGCTAACAATCTTCCGAGCTTTCAGTGAATCATAATTTTGTGGGTGGAGTCCCTTGCCTCAGAGTTGATGGCTGCTCGAAGTTGATCAGGATGATGATTTTGAAGGGTTGGAGTGGCTGTGGCAGTTTTTTAAGGCAGCAATAGGAAGTTTGCTGCATTGATTGATTCTTTCACAAAAGACTCTCTGTACCCTGTGATGCTGTTTGGTGGCATTTTACCCACAGTACAACTTCTTTCAGAATTGGAGCCAGTCCTCTCAAGTCTTGCTGTATCGCTAAGTTTTTGTAATACCTAAAGCCTTTATTGTCATTGCAGCAATGTTCGCAGCATCTTCACCAGGAATAGTTTTCATCGCAAGAAACTACTTTCTTTGCTTATCCATAAAAGCAACTCCTCACCCATTAGAAGTTTCTCATGACATTACAGAAATCCAGTCACATCTTCAGGCTCTGCTTCAAATTCTAGTTCTCTTGCTGTTTCCACCACATCTGAAGTTGTTTCCTCCAACCTTGAACTCCTCAGAGTCCTCCCTGAAGCTACTTCTAGACTCCTCTTAATGTTTATATTGCGACCTCTTCCTGGGAATCATGAATGTCCTAAGTGTCGTCTAGAATGGGGAATCATTTCCGGAAGGTTTTCAATTTCCTTTGCCCAAATCCATCAGAGGAATCACTCTAAAGCAGCTGTAGCCTTATGAAATATATTTCTTAAATAATAAGACTTGAAAGTTGAAATTATTATTTGATCCTGGGGCAGCAGAATAGATGTTTTGTTAACAGGCGTGAAAACAATATTCATCTCTGTACATCTTCATCAGGGCTCTTGGGTTACTACTAGGTATATTGTCAGTGAGCAGTAATATTTTGAAAGGAAATCCCTTATTCTGAGCAGTGGGTCTCAACAGTGAGCTTAGAATATTCAGTAAAACGTGCTGTAAACAGATGTGCTGTCACCCAGGCTTTGTCATTCCCATTTATAGAACACAGGCGGAGGTGATTTAACATAATTCTTAAGATGCCTTGGGTTATCAGAATTATAAATATTTCTTCAACTTACAGTTTTCAGCAGCATTGGCCCTTAACAAGAGTTAGCATGTCCTTTGAAGCTAGGCATCAATTCTCTAGCTCTGGAAGTTCTAGGTGGCATTTTCTTCCAGTAGAATGCTGTTTTATCTCTATTGCAAACCTGTTGTTTGGTGTAGCCTGTGTACTCTGAACATCACAAGTATTTGTTTGTTTTTGTCTTCCCCCTTGGGTGGAACAAGGTGACTAGAGTTGGGTATTCTCCTTCCCTCAGGTCACTTAGGCTTTTATAATATTACACCAGGTTAGGCCCTGATTAAGTGGTTTCTCCCTAGCATAGGCCTTGTCAAGAAGAAAAGAGTACTCTGGTATATTTCAAAATGGGTTGCCTTTTCTCCCAAAGGTGAAAGCAGGAGCACAGCAAATTAGTACCAAATCCTATTCCTGCTTTTTTCTTTTAATTTTTTTTTTTTTTTTTAGAAAGCAGAATTTATTGAGGGAACAGAATAGCTCCCACAGTGGGAGGGGACCTGAGGGGGTTGCCCTTTCTTCTTTTTAAGGATTACTCCCTGTTCTGTAGTCTCACTGCTCTGTATCTTAATGTAGGCGGTCATCTTGTCTCCCTATTTTCTTCCCCTTTGACTCTCCCCATTCTCCTTCACAGGGATGACTGTTAAAATGTGGAACTGGTCGTGTAACAGCTGTTCTTATAGGACCTCACTGTTTACACCCTGTGGTTTGGGAAGTGGCAGTGTTCGCCCTGGGGTGGACACAAGCAATTTTTTGGTATGTAGGAAGGAAATTTAAGGATACCTGTGTACATGCTTTTTTTTTTTTTACCCTCAGGCCATCCTCTATAACAACATGCTTTTAGTTGAGTACACTCTGCCCTTTGTATCCATGAGTTTGACATCTGTGGATTCAACTAATCTCAGATTGAAAATAATACACATATAGAAAAGGATGGTAGCCTCTCTACTGAACATGTAATTATTCCCTAAACAATATGGTATAGCAACTGCTTATGTGGCCTTTAAATTGTATCCAGAATAAGTAATCTAGAAGGGCCAGGCACAGTGGCTCCTGCCTATAATACCAGCACTATGGGAGGCTGAGGCGGGAGGATTGTGTGAGCTCAGGAGTTCAAGACCAGCCTGGGCAACATAGCAAGACTTCATCTCTACCAAAAGTCAAAAAATTGGGCATGGTGGCATGTACCTGTAGTGCCAGCTACTTGGGAGGCGGAGATGGGAGGATTGCCTGAGCCCAGGAGGTTGAGGCTATGGTGGACTGTGATCGTGACTCTGCACTCAAGCTTGGGCGACTAAGTGAGATCCTGACTCAAAAAAATAATAATCTAGAGGTTTTTTACTTATTATTACTGTCCTTAGAAACAAGATTTGTGCAGTGGCATGATCATTGCTCACGGCAGCCTCAAACTCCTGGGGCAAGCAATACTCCTATGCCAGCCACCCCATGTGCTGGGATTGCAGGCGTGTGCCACCGGACCTAGCCAATCTAGCAATTTTTTTAAAGTCCAGTCTTTTGAGGCTTAATGACAGTTATATTTTCTGAGAAATCCATCATTAGACAATTTCATTGTGTTGCAAACATCATAGAATTAACTTATAAAAACCTAGATGCTATATGTATTTTTATATAGGAAACCAAATTTCTCAGCAACTTTTTTGTTTGCTTGTTTGTTGGTTTGTTTTTTGAGTCAGAGTCTCACTCCGTCGCCCAGGCTGGGGTGCAGTGGCTCGCTCACAGCCACCCCAGGGTTGACCTGCTGGCCTCCAGCAATCCTTCCACCTCAGCCTTCCAAGTAACCAGTACTATAGGCGCACACTACCACGCCCATCTAATTTTCTATTTATTGTAGAGACAAGATCGCGCCAAGTTGCCCAGGCCGGTCTCGAACCTGCATGCTCAGGCAATCCACTCGCCTTGGCCTCCCAAAGTGCTGGGATTACAGGCTTGAGCCACCACGCCTGGCCAGCAACGTTATTATCAGTCATTTTCTTCACTTGATCTGCAGTGACAATAATAAGTCTCATATCAGGTTTCTATGTAGATTTTGTTATAATCTGATGGGACCGTGTCATATGTGACTCATCACTGGCTAAACTGTTATGCAGCCCATGACTGTTTACAGGAGGAAGTGCATAGGTTATATGCAAATACTATGTCATTTTATATACAAGACTTGTGCATCTGTGGATTTTAGTATCTGGAGAGATCCTGGAACCAATCATCCGTGGATGCTGAGGGATAACTGTAACTTTAAAATAATAGATGCATAAAAGTTTTTGCTTATTGGATTTAAGTTGGATATCTAAATGCAGAATCACTCCGTAATCAGTTCCTTCAGTATTGCGTTAACCTCTCTCATCATGACCCAGGATCATGCATTATCTAGATATGGTGTTCGCTGTATTTCCTTTGGTGTGGTGTGTCCTTGGTGCCCTTCTGACTGGACTTCTACTTCATAGTCATTAGAAGAAATGGTTCACATGAAAGAGCTAAACATTTTTAGTTTTCCAGTGAAGGGCAACCTTATAATATCAAATAGAACTATGTTTTCTCCTTTCTCTCCCTATTGTACATTAAATATGTGTCTTAGTTAGTTTATCTAGCACATTATTCCAGGTATGTGTTTATACTCAAGTCTTTTTACCAGATCATAAGCTCCTTGAAGAAGCAGAAAGTTCATGCTTTTATCCCTAGCGACAGAGATGGCTCTAGATCTATAAGGTAAGCTTTGTCAGAGAATTTTATTAATTAATGTTATTGCAGTGGCAAGATATTTCTGTTGTGATTATTTTCCTCTCACCACATAGTGTACAAAAATGCTATATCTTATGTAAGATGCATATAAGGCACATGTACACACAGAAAAATTAGCTCTCAGATTTCTGTTCTTTTGACCCAGGGCTGACGAGTTCAGGAGGAGTGTGCCGTTACAGAGGTTGGTGTCCTTTGAGGATGCTGCTGTGGACTTCGCCTTGGAGGAGTGGCAGGACCTGGATGCTGCTCAGAGGACCCTGTTCAGGGACGTGACGCTGGAGACCCACAGCAGCCTGGTATCCTTGGGGGAGCAAAACTCCCCAGGAACTCCCAGTAGCTGCACTTTTTTCCTTTGTTGGTAATTATAGGAATTACTTATGAAGTTTAATGGCACTTAAGTGTAAAATTCCAGTCCAGGAAGGTTGTGAATGTCACCTCGTGTAACAAAAGGTCCAAACTGGCCCCTTCATCGCACGCTTCCTGAAACTCTGGCTGTTGTTATTCTTGAGAAGACCTGACTTAGCAGTTTGGCAAAGTCCTATATTTTGTTCCCATTGACAGGTCATTGCGTTACCAAACCTGAGGTGATCTTCAAATTGGAGCAGGGAGCAGAGCCATGGACAGTAGAAGAAATCCCAAACCAGAACCTTTCAGGTCAGTCATCACATGCTTGTCAGGGAGCCCAGGAAGAGTAATGCCAGTAGATATTAGCAGTGGAGACCTATGTTCACCAAGTTTTTCCCCAGATCCCAGACCTGAGGACACCTGGTCTGCATGCATCAAATCGTGCTCATGATATAGTCTCTAAGGAGAGCTGTCATGCATATATCACCACCTTTTATTTTTCTAAGTATTTTTTATCTTTACCCCAAACCTAATCCCAACGTTCCTCTTCTTAGACATGATTCTTTGCTATAGATTTTCTCAATATTCTCAGTTTACCTCTTTTGTCTATTCTGCTGGAGTGTTTTTTTAATTTTTAGTCATTTATTCATACATTTAGTCTTTGAGCACATCTTTCTTAAGCATTTTTTTTTTGAGTTGGAGTCTCACTCTGTCGCCCAGACTGGAGTGCAGTGGCATGCTCTCGGCCACCACAGCCTCAACCTGCTGGGCTCCGGCGATCCTTCCGCCTCAGCCTTCCAAGTAGCTGGAAATACAGGTGTGCGCTACCACACCCAGCTGGCTTTCTTTTTGATTTATTGTAGAGATGAGGTCTCACCTGCCCAGGCGGATTTCGAACCCACGGGCTCAGGCAATCCACTCACGTCCGGCCTCCCAAAGCGCTGGGATTACAGGCTGAGCTACCAAGCCCGGCCCTACTTAAGCATTTTTTAAGGCTCTGGTAATTTGTAGTTGTACTGATAACAACAGTGACAAAATAATGTTCCTCTCACATTCTGATAAGAGAGATAAGAAGCCGGGCTCGGTGGCTCAGCCTATAATCCCTCGCCTTTGGGAGGCTGAGGTGAGTGGATTACCTGAGCCCGTGAGTTTGAGACCCGCCTGGGCAGGTGAGACCTCATCTCTACAATAAATCAAAAAAATTAGCTGGGCATGGTAGTGGCACCTGTAGTTTCAGCTACTTGGAAGGCTGAGGCAGAAGGGTCGCCGGAGCCCAGCAGGTCAAGGCTGCGGTGGCCGGGAGCGGCCACTGCACTCCAGTCTGGGCTACAGTGAGACTCTAACTCAAAAAAAAATAAAAGAGAGAGAGAAATAAGAAAATCCTATATGTTTAGGAGTTGTGTAAAAGCCATGAGGAATATTTAACCAGAATAAGAGAAAATTGGGGTGTAATTTAGGAAGGATGGTTTAAGAAGGCAGTTTTAAGGAGATTATTAAGTGTTTCCATTGGCATAGCTCCAGTTTGAGTTAACACTTTTTCAACTTTGACGTGTAATACATAGGTAAATCTAAAATCTAGATTCAAGAGTGAACATCACTATTGGAGATCCTAATTTGGAAATCAGTAGCTTAAAGCTGATATTTAATGTCATACTTATAAAGTAGGTCATCTACGGAGTTGTTACAAAAACGAGAAGTCCCAGAATGAGGCTCATGTACCTCGATTTCAGAAATCATGAAGCCCTGGAAGACCCAGCATAAGAGCATGGAAAGGGGTAATCCTGGACTTGGGAGGATCACCAGGAGATCCTGACTCTCAAGGTCAAGGGAATGCAGGGGTTCATACTGAAGGGCTCGGATTTCTGTTCACGAGTGGAGTCTAGGGTTATCATTTTCCCCTTCTTTTTGTGAAAATCATGTCTAAAACAACAAGAAGAATGAGAAATGTACAGGAGATTTCCTTCTCGATGAAACTATTAGACAGCCAGAACTCTAATACACAAAATAAAATCCTTCAGAAATAGTGAATTATCAAGCATTTTGCATATGGCAGACAAGGGAAGACAATACTCTTTCTATATAAGAGGGTGGGAGAGTCCTCCTGTAAATATAGTGAATTTGGGAAAGCCTATGATAAGTCAGCTGTTATTGCCCAAGCGAGAACTGAAATAGGAAAGAAAAGATTCCATTAAAAGCCTAATCTCAGCCGGGCTCGGTGGCTCAGCCTATCATCCCGCGCTTTTGGGAGGCTGAAGTGAGTGGATTGCCTGAGCCTGTGGGTTCGAGACCCGCCTGGGCAGCGAGACCTCATCTCTACAATAAATCAAAAAATCAGCTGGGCGTGGTAGCACATGCCTGTAATTCTGGCTACTCGGAAGGCTGAGGCGGAAGGATCGCCGGAAACCAGCAGGCGCGGCTGCGGTGGCCGGGAGCGGCGGCTGCACTCCAGTCTGGGCGACAGAGTGAGACTCCAACTCAAAAACAAAAACAAAAAACAAAAAAAGCCTAATCTCACAAAACAGCAGCAAATACACACAGGAGAGAAACCATATGTATGTACTGAACATGAGAAAACTTTCATTAGCATGTCAGACTTCACAATACTTCAAAGAAAACCCACAGGGAAAAAACCTTATGCATGTGACCAATGTGAGAAAGCCTTCAGCCATAAGTCAAGGCTTACTGTGCATCAGAGAACTCACACAGGGGACAAACCCTCTGAATATATGAATGTGGAAAACCCTTTATTGACAAGTTAAACCTCAGGATACATCACAGAACTCACCCAGGGGGAAAACCCTATGAATGTACTGAATGTGGAAAAACCTTTCAACATAAGTCATTCCTCGCTGTACATCAGAGAACTCACACAAGGAAAAAGCCCTATGAGTGTAATGATTGTGGGGAAACCTTTAGCCACAAGTCATACCTCATTATACATCATAGAACTCAAACAGGAAAAATCCTATGAATATAATGAGTGTGGGAAATTTTTTTTTTTGAGTTGGAGTCTCACTTTGTCTCCCAGACTGGAGTGCAGTGGGACACTCATGGCCACCCCAGCATCGACCTGCCGGGCTCCCACGATCCTTCCGCCTCAGCCTTCCAAGTAGCCAGAACTACAGGTATGCGCTACCACACCCGGCTAATTTTTGATTTATTGTAGAGATGAGGTCTTGCCAAGTTGCCTAGGCTGGTCTCAAGCTTGCGGGCTCAGGAGTCCACTTGCTTTGGCCTCCCAAAGTGCTGGGATCACAGGTGAGCCACTGAGCCCGGCTGGGAAAACCTTTATCAGTAAATTAAACCTCAGGACACATCAGAGAATTCACACAGGAGAAAAGCCGTATGCATGTGATGAATGTGGAAAACCCTTTCACCAGAAGTCAGACCTCAACATGCATCACGGGGAGAAACTTTATGAATGTGGAAAAACATTTCACTGTAAGTCATTCCTCACTGTACATCAGAGAACTCACACGGAGGAAAAGCCCTGTGAATGTAATGAATGTGGAAAAACCTTCCCTCAAAAGGCAAATCTCGGCTGGGCTCGGTGGCTCAGCCTGTCATCCCACGCTTTGGGAGGCCGAGGTGAGTGGATTGCCTGAGCCTGCGG